AACATATGTGTGCAAAGTCCGACGTGATTCATGAACAAAAGTTTCAACGAGCATATGCCTTCAATGTCAAAGATGTGCTTTCTTTCCAAAAGCTCAAGCGCAACGATAGAGCCACTTGCCGTGTTCGCGGGCGTGAGCATTCAAATTTGCTGCATTTAAAGATCGGTGCGCTATGGCCAAGCGCTGCGGATGCGTTCTGCTACGAAATAGTGAGCACATGGTTGACAGATTGTATATAAAAAGGCATACTTATACAATGAGTTTTATATGTACAGAGATTGGGGATAAGAAGATATCAATCCTTTACAACATCGCGATCTACGCTAAAAATCCTGACTCCAGTAAGGAGTCGTTTCGATTTAGAGCACATTGAAGTCTGAAGATAAAATTATCGAGATACACCTTCTTCTAAGCGAAGCATGTTAGTCGAAGTGGCCTTTTTATACAGTGCTCCATAGCTATAAAGCCACCCTAAAAATCACTGTAATTTGCTCTCTCTCTTGCTCGAAATTGTCTGAAAAACCACTATTCTGTGTGCAGAATAACGTCATAACATTGACCAGGACAGTTCCCGATTTCATTGATTTTGGCCGGAGAAAAATTGAAAAATTTGAGAAAAGGGGTTCCCAAGGCTGGTCACAGCTATAAAGCCACCTCTCATTTCCAATCAGTACTACGTTTTTTGAGCCTGAAATTTTTTGTACATGACAACATCAAAATGTAAAACATTCACCACTCTTCGAAGAAGTCGCCTTTCCAAAAAGGAGATTCATCCTGCATTTTTTGCTTCAAAATGTGTAAAAAGTTATAATGTTTGCAAAAACTGCCTTTTCAACGAATTTTCAAGCATTTGTTTGACTCGGATGCAAATCTTAGACTATGTTGAGCCTTTGCAATGAATATGGTGAAATGCGCATGAGTCAACATGTCGTAGTCGCTGATATTGATAAACGAGCCTCAACCTCGCCTCCAGGTAGACGAGTTTTCGAATGGCAGAAATTGAGTTTTAATGCCCGAAAAGCTCTGTCACGTGCTCAGCACACCACCTGTACAACGATAGGCTCGCGCGCATAGCTTGAACGTCATCGCAACTCTCAGGATTTTGGTTCCACCTTGGACGCCTTTTTTCCAAAAATGAGTGGTGCACTCTGCCTGATCATGACACACTCTGACTTTTCGATCGAGCGGAAAACCGCTCAGAACCTCAAAATTCTAGTATACCTGACAGTTCTGTAAGATATGACTTGAAGAGGAGTTCAAAGCAGTAAAATTTGAAGTCATGTGGGCAAGTCGGCAACTTTTTTGTGCAATTCAAAGAATTTTGTCCAAATCATGGGTGATCCGATAGAGAAGCCTGTTAACTTCTGACCCGCAGCTGCACTCGAGTTTTGCTATTTGCGCTCAGTAATTACAAGCTGTCGAACTTGCCTCTGACTGCAACTCTTTTCGCAGCTGGCGTCGCTTCTGCGGGGATCGTCACGCCTGGATGACAGGTCCAAATGATGTGTAAGGCATTACGCCAACAATGTTAGCAGTGATCAAAGATTTGGTCCGCCCTGTGCAGAACGAGAAAATATCATAATCACTTGCTCGAAAAAATTGTACATTTTTAGAGGCAAAAAATGGTCGATTTTTCAAACTTTCTGGAAAAATTTTTTTGCAGGTGATTCTGCAAAAACGCGAAGTGTCCCATAACAGCCCCAGCAAACTTCTATATAACCACAGCATTTGAGCTCTCCAGCTTTCATTGCGCCTGAGATAATGTTGCACAAATGGTCCACTTTTCGCGACGACCTTCTTCCCTTCTGCGCATGTTGATGGACCGCACTGAGGCGCTGAAAAGCCAGCAAAACAAATATATGTTGCCGACAAAATTGTCTTTGCAATGAAGTTTGTAGCAAAAAATCAATTTGCTTGGAGTTACAGCGATTTGAAAAAGATTTTCGCAAATGCCCGGGAACTTTTTTTACAACCTAATATTTCCACATGTAATTTTCTGCTCAACGGAAGGCCCATAACTAGGGTCAAGCGTGGGGTGTGGCACGCCACACCTGGGGTCGTATTGAGGAGTCAAAGGGGGAGGGGGTCGTAGTTGGGTAATCTGATAATAGTGATAACATGAATTCGTATCATATCCATAATTAGCATGTCAAATAACCCCTGTAGACAAAGTTTGAGCGAATTCTGAAGATTCAAGATATTAGGCTACCTAAGTGAAATGGTCATATTCCAACATGGTTAACTTTGTTTCAAAGGTGAATTAGCTATCCGTTTTTGCATCAAGACAAAGCACTACTCCTTCTTTGTCCACATCAGAACTCCCGCTTTAAAAGACCTCCAAACTGTGAAATTAGAGGTCTTCCAAAAGCACGTTTTTCCCATTATGCTTTTGATGGCTGTGCTTTCAAAAACTATTACTCAGAGCAAAGAAAACGAATCAGACTCAAATCACTTCTGTGAAAACTGGGAGGTCTAGGCTGGCGATTGATATGAATACGGTTTGCTAAAAATGTTTTTATGACATAGTTAATGGGGTGTGGCACACCCCCTTGAAAGCTGTAGCTGCCACAGCTTTTGAAGACAGTGGATCGGCAAAACTTGACAACCCAATCTCAAGGCAGTAGGTTTCTTATCGTCCACGTATGAAAACAGTGCAATCCCGGTTGCACAGCGTGCCTTCCCTGTCGAGAAAATCGCTCTCAAATTTATACGCGCAAGCCAATCTTACACGCACTCGGACGAGTTGGCAACTTCCTTCTCACCATTGGAGGCTGCCCGCCGCAATGCTATAAACATTGGGTCCCGCAACGATTCAGCGCTATCAACCCTTGCTCCACTCGTCCAGTCTTGAAGGGAAGGGGGTTGAAAAACGATCGTTTTCGCGGTTTTCGAGCTCTCTATAGTGGATTTTTGTGATCAGCGTATTGAATAACCCCAGGCAAGCGAAAATTTGACTAGGTTGAGATTTGCCGAGCCACTGCCTTCAAGGGGGGGTGACACACCCCATTAACTATATCAAAAAAACATTTTTAGCGAACAGTATTTATATGAATCGATAGCCTAAACCTCGTGGATTCCATAGGAGTGTTTTAATCATGATTCGTCTTCTTAGCTTTGAGTAATATTTGATGAAAGCACAGCCATTAAAAGCGAAAAATGGGAAAAATGAGATTTTGGTTGGCTTCCAATTCCACAGTTCGGAGGTCTTTTGAATCGGGATTTCTGATATGGACCAAGAAGGAGTAGTGCTTTACTTTGAGTGCAAAAACGGATAGCTAATTCACCTTTGAAACAAAGTTAACCATGTTGGAATATGACCAGGGTCAAGCAAGGGGTGTGGCACACGGTCGCTGGTTACAACCCCCCCCCCTGATTGCTGCCTTAATAAGACCCCCCCCCCTGAATTATATACCTAAGATAGCATTGCCTGAAGGCCCTGTCAAACACAATGGGCAACACATCCATAATGAGCATGTCAATTAACCCCTGTAGACAAAGTTTGAGCGAAGTCTGAAGATTCAAGATACTAGGCTACCCAAGTGAAATGGTCATTTTCCAACAAGATTAACTTTGTTTCAAAGATGAACTAGCTATCTGTTTTTGAGCTCAAGACAAAGCACTACTCCTTCTTTGTTCATCTCAGAAATCCCGTTTCAAAAGACCTCCAAACTGTGGAATTAGAAGCCAACCAAAATCTCATTTTTCCCATTTTCCGCTTTTGATGGCTGTGCTTTCACCAACTATTACTCAGAGCTAAGAAGACGAATCAGATTTGAAAGAGGTTTAGGCTATCAAATCATATAAATACTGCTCGCTAAAAATGTTTTTTTGATATAGTTAATGGGGTGTGGCACACCCCCTTAAAAGCTGTGGCAGCCACAGCTTTTGAGGGGTGTGCCACATCCCATTAACTATGTCATAAAATCATTTTTAGCAAACCATATTTATATGGATCGATAGCCTAAATCTCCTGGTTTTCAAAGGAGTGATTTGAGCCTGATTCGTTTTCTTTGCTCTGAGTGATAGTTGGTGAAAGCACAGACATCAACAGCGGAAAATGGGAAAAATGAGATTTTTCTTGGGGCTTCTAATTCCACAATTTGGAAGTCTTTTGAAGCGGGATTTCTAAGATGGACAAAGAAGGAGTAGTGCTTTGTCTTGAGTTCAAAAACTGATAGATAATTCATCTGTGAAACAAAGTTAATCTTGTTGGAAAATGGCCGTTTCACTTGGGTAGCCTAGTATCTTGAATTATCAGAATTCGCTCAAACTTTGTCTACAGGGGTTAATTGACATGCTCATTATGGATATGATGCGCATATCATGTTATCACTATTATCAGATTACCCAACTGCGTCCCCCTCTCCTTTTGACTCCTCAGTACGACCCCCCCCCCCCAGGTGTGGCGTGCCACACCCCACGGACCCTGAATATGACCATTTCACTTAGGTAGCTTAGTTTCTTGAATCTTCAGAATTCGCTCATACTTTGCCGACAGCGGTTAACTGACATGCTCATTATGGATATGTTGCCCATTATGTTTGACAGGGCCTTTAGGTATATAATTCAGGGAAGGGGGGGGGGGTTTAACAATTAGTAAGGCAGCAATCAGGGGGGGGGGGTCGTAACCAGCGATCGTGTCACACCCCTTGCTTGAACCTGCCCATAACCCCTCATCTATAATTGTTCCGCAGATAAGGAAAACAAATTTGGATTCAGCGTTTATGCTTTCAAGATGGTATGATACGGGTCTAACTAGAAACGGCACTTCGACACCATGGTTCCCTTGTTAGTCATTTTTTGGTAGCGTACCCTACTGCACGAGAATATTTCAAGAAGAGATTACCAAAGTAATCAAAAAATACTCATCTACTACTCCTTTCATTAGAGAAAATAGGAGTCGCGATAAGTACCCAAGCATACTTCACGCGAGTCCAATCGCTACACAACTTAGCAATACTCCAATTGTGTATAACTCATCGCAAACGCACACTGAATGTACAGGAGATAGAGCACTTTATCAATCTGCGAAAGCTATACACATTATGCATTTATAGTCTGCAATTACACTTGAAGACATCTGGCAATGCCAGATTGCATCGCGACTGAAATCGCTTGTATGCCCGAGGCCTAGAGCAAGTTTCAAACAGTAGCAGTAGAGAGGTCTTCGATATCCACGTCATCAAGCATGCCTGAAAAACAATTAAGTATAGAAAGTCGTGTGAAACAAACTGTATCGTCCAGTTGTCACCGTACGGATTAGCCACAAATTGCGGAGCAGGCGCGGCACGGCTGAAATGTCACTGAGGCATGACACGTACTAGAGCGATTTGTAGCACAAGCGTTTGCGCGCGCTGCACCTGCTCCACAATCCACTACCATGACTCCACGATAAACGTTATCCACCTATTCGATCCGCAGAATTTCAAAGTCGCGGAGCTTGCTTACGTTAGACCTGGCCTGTGGGATTGTAACATGCTGATCACGAAGCTGATACCGATTCCGCACGACAGGTTTTTGCGAGTCACGGCAAGAGTGCGACAAAGTTGAAAATCTCATACTTGCTGGATCTTTGCATAGAGGGGTTAAGCGGTGTTTCAATTACGCTTACAAACGTCGATTCTTCTTGGTTTACAGTGAAGACCGCGTGCTACATGATTACCCACACAAAGATAACACTTGCCAAACTTCGCTCAAAAGCGCCCGAAAGCGCTCGAATTTCTTTATTCTCTCTTCACAACCCTCTCACCTCTCCTCGCACACGCTCCGCGCTAGCCTAAAAGCGCCAGTACCTCAGCAGAAATCTCTCTTCACATTTTTCACCGCCGCATGAAAAAGCACATAGCAATTTTTTAGTGCTGTTGTAATACTTAAGGGCGGATAGAAGTAGTCGAAAACGAGCATACTCTCTGATATAAGCGGGTGGGTCTCATTTGCAAGGCGGCTGCCAACGAAGCAACCGAGTCCTTTTTATTGTGCGAACTACCAACGCTAGCGTACGTCTCGCATGATGATATGTTTTCGCTTGCGACTAGCTTTTATTAACATGGCAATTGAATTGAAGCAAAGAAACCCATTGCAAAAAACTTATCAAGAAGACTAAGAGCGTTAGTATAGCGCTTATGCACATACCTTGCCTTGAAGGGCGCTCCACGTCATGGGAATCCTCAGACTCTTGTGTTGATCGTGAAGTAGTCGGATGTTTGCGTGTATGCTTCGCTTTGCTTGCCCTCGATGCTTTGTACGACTCAAAGGCGTCGTGTAGCTAAAAAGAACTTTGCAGACGAGCACTAATCTATATAGAAGACAAGACTCACCGCTTCATGTATTGTTTCGAAACCAGCCGTCTTCAAACCAACCATCACATCTTCCACGTTCACTGTCTTTCTCTTCTTCGATGTAGTATGATCTTCCGCTTGCGTAACGAGGTAGAGTATGAACACAGCACATGCACGCATTATATGGGTACGCGCATCCTGAATAGATATTTATACAGCGATTACATCTATTCCATTCGGGAACACTCGATGACTTGATGTGAAGTACCGCACTCTCCGCCATAACTGCGCTGCATCGGCAGCACTAGCGTCATGCATTCGCTAGCCAGGCACGCGCCATACCTGATCCGCTTGATCCACATCCTTTTGGTCAGTTCACTGACTTGACCAATAGCAAAGTGGATGAAGTGGATCAAGCCGATCAAATAGATCGAGTATGGCGTGTGCTAGAGAGCTCGAAGAGAATGAAAAGAACTGGACATCGCGCTGTCACGATATTGCACAGTTACCGCGATGAGGCGCAAACCGTTGCGACAGGAGGCGAATCATCTTATTTCCAACTTAGACCAGTGAAATAAACTTTTCTGCTTCAAGACAACGTGTCATCAAGCTTGAAAGAAAGGCAGATTTTTTGGCAAGCAAAGGGATTTCCATAGTCATAAAGCAGACATAGCCTTTTGTAAGAGTACTGAAGAAGTTAGGCGAGATGACTTTTTTGTAGGTAAGGTGATAGCGGTAATGTTCACAAATTTTGAATGATACGGCCTTGAATGGATATCATTCATTCTGTGTCCAAGAGACTTGAAACCGCTTTGGGTAAGTTGTCAGAACAAGTTTGTTTGGGTGATTCAAGTTCATGCCCGTGATCAACCAAATCTAGCATTATTTGCTACTCGGAAACAGAAAAAATAATTTCAGCTTGTTTGGGCACATACTTGACTGGCTTAATCCATTTCTGCATGATCCGCTTCGCCACTGGGTCAACATTGTGACCAATAGCGAAGCGGTTATCCTCTTGATCCGCTTCATCCACTGAACAATGACGAAGTGGATCCAGCGAACCAAGTGGATTAAGCGGGTGTGTGACGTTTCGCACGACCGTAATGCTTTCCACACAGGACCACCGCCGCGCGCGACACACCCTGCGGCGGCTTTTGCCTAAGCAAAACACGGGGAGGAAAGAATTGCGGCGTGCATTACATGTTAAGACAAGTCAAAATCAGGGAGACGCTGGAGACCGTCCGTGCGAAAAGACCGTCTCCCGGATTAAGCGGATCAAGTATGGCGCGTGCCTTAGACAATGTGGGCAAAGCGGCATCAAGTCTCTTAGTCTCAAAATGAATGATACGTAATCGCTGCCAAACCCATAAGACGTAATGTACACGGGTGAGGAAAACTATATCAAAATATCGCCAAAAACCATTTAACAAAATCCACAATCACTGTATTAGAAAACGAAAAAGGCAGAACGTAGCAAAAAAAAACTCAAGGATTCTTGAAACGAACTATGAATGACAAACCTTCGACACAGCTGCACCACTTGGTAAACTGGACTTGATCACCCTACTCAACACGGCCATGGGAAGACGAAGTTCTTCTGCTTTTGAATTAGACATGGCTTGAGACGCTTATATTGATACTGAAAAAAACCATACAATGATTCATGCTAAGCTTGCAAATTGGAGAAGTTACAATATGCGGAATTCAAATAGTCGAAATGCGCGCTTCACGAAACGCATCTGAGCCAGCGATTCGCATTGGCGCAGGCTTTCTGTCGTTTGAATTGCAAGCGAACACAGAACATGGGAGAATGACATCCTCTCCAATTCATAAATGGATGACTTCCAGGGTCGAGCATAAGATGTGACACACGACCCCTGGATACGACCCCCCCACCCCTTGGCCGATACCCTCTGCATTTTCGTTAGCCTACCGTAGGCGTGTCATAAAGGCTCTACCAAGCATAATTAGTAACATTTGTAATTATCATGTCAAATACCCCCTGTGGGCAAATTTTAGCCAATTCTGAGGATTCACAATAATGGGCCACCCAAGCAAGGTGGCTATCCAAACATGATTAACTATATTTCAAACGTGAATCAGCTACCCGACAACTCCAGCAACATCGGCAACCGTTGACGGCAACCTAGGGCCGTTCCCCTAAGGAAGATAAAGTCGTTCTTTTACTTACTTATGCAAATGGAAGATACTGCGAAAATATTGGGTTTACGGTATTATGCTAATTCGCGCTAGAAAATGTATAGTGCATTTTAAAAATCGAGACGATGGCGCGACCGCGCACGACACTCACGCACCTTCCGGCAATCGCATTTCCTTGGTTTTAATCTCTACTCAACTGGTTTTCTGCTTAGGTATGTTAGTGCTTGGACATTAGAAGTGACTGAGCTGAGCTTTGGATGCCTTTTTGTATGAGGGTGTTCTGTTCCTCGGGGCGCAAAGACCGTAGTCGAATCCGTCGTCACGATTTGAACCATATATATATAGTCCAAGCTTCGTATACAGAAGTGATTTGAGTCTGATTGGTCTCCTCTAGTCTGAGATATTCAAACCGAACGGAAATTCCTAATGTGAGCAAAGAAGTAGTAGTTCTTTGTATTAAGTGCAAAAACTACTTAACCTATAGGCCCCGTAAAACCCAATTGCCCACGCGTCGCTTTGAACACCAACGCGCGGCGCGGCTGGAAACGTTTGGTCCCGAAGCGCTAGAGGGATTTTTCGAGCGACAATGAGCGCGCGTCCTTTCCACACATATTTTTTTAAACTTTTGAGGGGACCTTTCGTCGAGATATACCTTGCATTGACGATAACAACATGAAAGTTACAGAAAGATTTTTTGGAATATAGTGAACGCCGACAGTCGTTCGCGACGACCGCTCGCTTACGCTGGTGTTCAAGGCACGGCGCGGGCAATTAGGTTTTACGGCGCCTATACCTTCGAAATCAAGGTACAGTCGAGTATATATAGTGTGCTTGCACTGAAGGTGAAATGCGGTAAAATTTGAGCGTTAACAAATAGCTGCGCGCGTGACAATTGCACGCGCAAAAGGCTGGCATTACTGGCGTGGCTACTTGTTCACGCGCAAATTTTACCGCATTTCACCTTCAGTGCAAGCACACTATATTAAGCGGAAAATCTACTCGACTGTACCATCGTCTCCCCGATTGCTGCGAGGGCGGTTGCGATGGTCAACCGTTAATCAATTTATCAGCTATGTCTCAACACTGGACAACCGCATCGCTGATACGCTCGCCCTAGTCCGCCCTCGCGGCAATTGGGGAGCCGATGGTAACATGTTCGAAAATGACTACCTCACTCGGGTAACCCAATACTTGGAAACCTCAGAATTCGCTAAAATTTGGCCCACGTGGGTTGTCTGACATGCTAATTACGAAAATGATGCTTATGTTTGGGGCTCTTTGATTACCCTAAAATCCTTACTATAAGTCCGGACTTATCTGCAGTTTCTACGCGAAAAATCGATGAAAAAACGCCCTCTGCGCCGCCAAAAGTCTACCAGATAAGTCCTCCTAAATCCACTATCAGATAAGTCCGCAGCAGATAAGTTCCCCTATCCTGAGCATGAGAAAGCGGACTTTTCTGCAGGACTTTTGGCGGCGCGAGGGCGACTTTCGTTGTCAAGAAAGGTGACTTAACTGTTAGTTCTTCTGCGGACTTATCTGATAGGGCGGACTTATCTGATAGGCGGACTTATTGTACGGATTTTAGGGTACTTCACTTTAGTATTATTTTGCTTAAAATGGGCCTAACCAACATTGTAAACGAAAATCATGTTATCCCTAACATCAAAACCACCTCGATAACGACCCTCTCTCCCTCCCCTGGCTCTCAGTACGACCCCCCCCCCAAGTGTGGCATCACGCCACGCTTGACCTTGATGACTTTGTTCCATCTCAGACAACCGACCGGAACTTCCGCAGCGCTTTCGCAGGGTTTCCGCAGGTGACCCGGCGGAAATCCTGCGAAAGCGCTGCGGAAACCCTGCAATCTCAGGGTACAGGGTTTCCGCAGTACTTTGTTTGAAGTTCCGCAGCACTTTGCGGTTTTCGCTTTTGATTCGCGATCCGTCTTCCATATCAAGCTTCCTTTTTGATACTAGGTTTTCCTTTCCAATACTCGGTTTTCGCTTTTTACTAAGGCATTATTCCTTTGATGTAGAAATTCCTCTAGACTTTCTAGATGCTAAGAGACGTAGACCGAGATAGTTTTGATGAGAAAGCAAATGCTCAGATAACCGCCGGGGGCAGGCGGCCATGCGAATTTTGAGCAAGCGCGCACCGGAAAGATAGTTCGTTGATTTTTTGCGGCCCGCTTGCAGAAATTTGGAAGAAAGTTGGCAAAATTAAAGACGAATGTTTGAAGAACAATCGCGGTTTCTTTATGGATTAGCTGCGGCGCAGTGGCCGCATTCTCGCGGACTTTCCGCGAGAACATGCAAAAATTTCGAGGGCCGCACGTTCTTTTGTGGAGGACCGCGCAACCCCCAAGTACTTTCCGCTGAGAGAAAGTACCTCAAACTTGAGTAATTAAACCAACGGTGACACCTCTGCCACACAGAGTCTTACCTGCGCTCGACGTACGCCCGAAAATACCTAAAAAGAGTCCGAGCGCTTGCTGAAAGTTTGGCCAGCGCTCGCTGGAAGATATTATTTGACGAGCGCTCGCAGAAAATTCTGTATTGCTGCCCGCTGGCAGAACGCGGAAGTACCGCCCGCTGAAGGTTTGGCCACGTCCCAAAATTCTGCTGACCGCCTGCAGAAAAGCGCGAGTTTGCGGACCGCCTGCCCCCGGCGATTATCTGAGTGGCGGCAGTGTATTGTTTCATGCAGGTACCATATAGAATCACAATAGGCCGAAGTTGATAATTGCAAATCAATCAATGAAGTGTTCATAAGTAAATTTACATAAAATCACAGAAGCATTCGAGTATATATGCATAACCGAATAAGGTTGGAAAAAATCGGCAGATGTTAGGAATTGAAAAGCAGTGTTATACTGATGGAAGAGTAAAGAATAATGGAAGAATAAGATAAAACAAGAGTAATCTCATTCACAAAGGATAATATGCGCTTCAAAGGGAAGATGGTCCTGTGGGGAAATAAACCTTTCCACTTATCGGGTGTCATTTTGACCTTGTCCGCGCGACTGAAGCCGGCTTCGGTCTCTTTTCCTTTCTGTAATGAGCATTAATTGAAATTTCTTGTTGTAAATCATGCCTTGCTGCAAGTGTTCCATTTTGCAACTTCTTCGCCAAAAAATACGGAGCAAATTTGGACGATTTATTCAAAATTTCGGGAAATTTCGAAATCTCGAAAGGAGAAGCTCTGAGACAGGTTTGAAAATTACAAGAGTTTTCTGCAAAAATCAAGGCTTTACTTCGACTTGATTTTTTTTTGGAATTTTCAAATTTGGAGCGGCAGAACTTTTTTTTCATTCTAATATTCCAGCATTTTCCACACAAAACAGGTATGTGTCAGACTCTGAGGTAGGTATATGTAAGGCAAAGTTATTATAAATTATTGTTGAATTTTAATTTATTATTTAGAAAATAATACTAATGAACCAAAAGCTCATCCCCAACCTTTCAAAAATTCGAAACTTTCTTCCTTCACATCCGATCTGCACATGTTTATTTTGAGAGAAGACATGCTTTCTAACGGTACCTGAGGCACTTTTTGATAGCTCCACAGATCGAAGTCGGTGAAGAAAGTTACTCCATTTTGATATTCCCCATGTTTAATCGCAAAAATCTGCCTGCAGAAAATCGGAGCAATCGGTACATAGCTATTATTACCTACTCTTTTTGCGTGTACAGAGATTGCGCTGATTGAACGTCTCTTGAAAAGTTATGATTTTTGAGGAAGCCGTTAAAAAGAGTAAATATGATTTTTGGCATTTGCTTCTGTCGCGGATTCGCGACTTCCTTCAAAGGTCGCCGCCGCCGCCTCGCGAAGGGTCCCAAAACGCCGTCCTCGCGCTGTCCCGCCTCTCACCTCTCTCACCTGCGCAGCGTTTAAATAAGTCACGTAGTCATTCCTTCGCAGCTGCCGTCACAGTGAGCGGTCGGGTTTCCAATTCGTCTCAACTATCGATCGATCCAGCGCTACCCCAACTCTCGCGTGCTTCCATCTACGCCACAGAGGACTGGCTCCCACGCTACGAGGTAACCCCGAGCGCGATCGCACCTGGCACACGCCGGCGACACCGCCTCGGGGGGTTTCCGTTATTGCCGGCCCCTAGGTAACATCTGGCTGGTTGTTGCTCATCCTGTATGTTTGAGTGTAGGGATTTTATTGCGGATAAATGGTGGGCACTTTGCAGGTGTGATTTGTATTGGAGCGGTGACCACAGCTCGACTGTGGCTCCGGAGTATTGTGTTATCATTTTGTGCGTATTTCGTAATCAAGCCCAGTGGGTAACATCAGTAGGAAGGCTGGCACGACACCGGTTAAGTGCCACGGTTATGAGTACACGCCCCAGCTGTCGTTGGCTGGAAGCGTAGGTCGATCCCAAGTGACGAGTCGCTACCAAGCAGGCTGGTGGCAAGGGCCCCTAGAGTGTATAGAGTTCCCATGTGGCAGGCCCACAGAGCAGTTGCACAGGTAGCCACCTCACACGTTACGCTTCACTATCCTCACGGATCGGACCCCTGGCTCCCCTCGCCGATGCAGGAGAGCAATCGTACCACTGACGTTGGGAGCTGGGGGCCCAATCCGCGACATGGTGCATCGTACCGGAGTTGAGCATAGGGATAGCAAACCTATGTTCAGCTTTTGTGATCGAGCCCCACCTGTGTAGTCCACATGCGTACGCTTTGCACATTAGTGCCCCTAGCCAGCAGTGCAAATCCATCCTATTTTCCATTTCACATGTTTGCGCAGTGTATACATGCTGGTAGTACCTTGTGGCTCCTTGGAGAACTCATCTTTCGTCTCATCAGCAAGCTCCGCCGCGACTAGGTTGACGCGAATACGCGACTACCCACAGTTCCACTTAGCTGGGAGTAGGGTGATCCCGTAGACCTGGATGGCAGCAGCAATCTACGCCCTGCCTACTGCCCGGAACTGTCTGGTGCCTTCTGGTGGCCAGGTTTCTCTGCAGCCATCGAGATGGTTCGGCTCTGTCTGCCCTGAAACACGCCATCAGGCCGTCGAACGAGCCCTGTTGTTGCGTCAGATGAGAGTCTCGCCCCTAAATTCATTTCTTTCCCACATGCTCGCATTGCGCACTCATTCCTCTTTCCCTCCTTTTTTCTGCAATTTGTGGCTAGGCTTAGTCAGTGACGGTTCCTTGCGATCGATGCTACTTTCGTCATCGGCACTCATCCCCATATAACATCCCGGGGTTTCAGTCGTTGCTTGTTGTTCATTGTTTCACGCATTTCGCTCGTGTATTGTGTTCACCATTTCGTGTGACTACGTCCGCAAGTGGTCACACCCTCATCAAACATACTCATGTAGCACAATTTCAGAATTTGGGTTTGGCAGTTACTACCTCCTGCAAGTTTTCGAGCTAGTGCGCTATCGATCGATATGGCTACTGTGGAATCTTACATCCCCAAGGTCGTCAAAGCCATCGAGGACCTGGAGGCGATTAGGAAACAGGTAAGTTCCGATCTGCTTACTCCGTATGTGTCTGACGCCCCAGTTGCCGAGCAACTCCATCAGCTCCAGCAACGTCAGGCAGCCACACAGTTCTCTATAGTGAGTCTGAGATCCGCACTTTCGCTTCTGCGTGAGCGTCGCGATGTACTTTTGTACCACATCACCATCTCCAATTCGCAGACGGATCAGCAGGCGTACAGCAGGTTCGAGGAAGAGCACAGCGTGGATCAACATCAGGCCGACGCTGAAGCACTTCTCCGCACTTTGCAGAGTACCCAGGAAGCGGATAGTGAACACTACCAGTCTCTTCGTATCCATCGACTCGCTAATTCCATCAGTGAGGACGCCACT